AACATGTAGTCAAATAGTTTTGTCTATTTTATGACAGATTCCTGTACATTACGTTCTAGGGTATAGTTTATTCCTTTCTACTTTAAAGAAAGGAAGAGTGAGTGAGGAAGAAGAAAACAAAAGTGCCAACACCTTCTACTGTGGTTGATGCTCAATAGTATCTTTGTAGATCTTGGTAGATCTACAAAGGATGCAGGATGCCCAGACCTGAGTATAGTGTGTATAGTGTACTAATCTGACCACAGGAGATGAAAAACTTAAAACAAAAGCCCATATGGATTTATTGAGGCATTTCAAGAACCAGTTCTGTAAGTTAAGCAGGAGTAATTTTCAGCAACTGCTAATGAAAGCACGTTTTTTTGGTTTTTTTTAATTATTTTAGCTTTAAGAAACTTAAGCATGTACAGAAAATTAAGAGGGAACATGAAGAAACCAAATGAGTATGTTTAGAGTTTAAGATGTTGTGTTATCAGGGTGAATAAGGTGGTGGTGATTGATCTGCAACAATTTTATCATAAGCTGGTGGAGCATCAGGTACCTGTGGTAAGGAAAATCACGTGAAAGACTGAAAAACCAATTGAGGTACAAGAAAATTACATTAAGAATTCAGAGCGTTATTTACCCCAATATATGATATGGTACTGCAGCTTAACCTGAGCTCATTCTTTATGTCTTTATTTTTTTTAAGGTTACTTTTTGCTAATACATTTTTTGATTTTGCATCAAATTAATTTAATTTTGTTCATATCATTCATCCAAAGGGATAATTTTCAGTGTACAAGAATGAGATTTTTTTTTAAAAAAAGGATTTTTTATTTATGTTGAGATTTTAGACTAATATTGAAAGTTTTCTTTAAGAGTCTTGATGCAGGTATACTGTTGTATTCCCATTCACATGTTACATCTTTCTAACAAATTGTGTAATGATCATAGAACTTAAGAATAAAGGTAGATAAAAGAAGATATTTTTAAAAGAGAAAAATTCTCAATAATGAATTTTAAAGTCTCTATTCACAGTAAAAATTGTGCAAAAACAAAGCACACCGGAAGGAAAAAATCACCAATAAGTGACTGTTTTCCAAAACTGTCTCACCGTGTCTTACTATGTTATAAATAAATGAAAGCTTGAGTTGCAACTTACCACCAAATTAAAGTTTCTGTACTCCTGCAGAGGCATTTTGCAGTCCAGTGTTGTTCCCTCGCCTACCATGGTTCTTATTGTGCCCACACTAGAGCTTTTGCTCTGTGACAGATCATAAAGAAGTACGGGTAAGATGAAAGTAAGAAGAAAATGTGAAGTTGGAGCAAATTATACATAATTTAATATTTGACAGCACATTTTTTACAGTACATGTAAGAATCTCGGATTAGGGCCAGCCAGTCAGAGAGGTGAGTACCTATCAGGTTTTGCTGTCTCTGATGGGGCTGCTCTCTCTCCTTTATTGCCCAATTACATTTCCCGAAAAATGAAGGTCACATTTTTTTATGGATCTTCAGGACTAGGACTGCTGCAGGAACTGGCACCTTCTCACATACCTGAATGCCTCCTCCTTTTTATCCCTCCCATTCCTTTCTTTAATCTCCAACCATTCTCATTTCAATTTTTCCACCATCTCTTTTGCATATATTCTAGACCAATTCTCTCCTACCCAAGAAGCCTAATAAAAATTTGATTTTCAAAATGAGAAAGCAGCAATCTGCAATGACAAGGAATTAAATAAGAAATAGTGCTTTTTTGCCATGAGGTACAAGGCAGGAATGAAAGAATTCTGGTTTACATTTTTGAAGTTGTTGGGGGTTTTTTTCATTTGAAAGACCTTCATTTTTGCAAACCAGAAAAGATTTGCAAAACGCTTCATTCTTGCAACATTTCACTAATGAAGTTCAGCTTTGATGTGTTCTGCCAGTTGATGTATTTGATAGATCACTGGGAAGGTAGCAGTAAAAAGTTATCAGAAACAGCAAGGAAATGAATTTCAATGAGAGGTAAGTTTTTTAACTCCAAGTGATCACATCTTTTTTTAAATATTAGAATAGCAAAAAGGCATTTACTGTAAAACATATAAAGGATTAAAAGTGGCCTCCCTTTCACAAGGAGGAGAGCAGAACTTCAAAGATAAAGCTTTGTGACTTCTAACAGCAGATGTTATGAGAAGGATAGTACCTTTTATATTTTTTAAGAAGACACAAAATAGAATTTGTTAGAAGTGTTGATTGGAAAGCCCTGCTTTTTCATAAATTTTAAAATTTCAAGTCAACTTTTATACAAATAAATCATGTATTACCTATACATGAACATAATATTTCCTTAGGTACTTGTAACATCTTAGTTTTCGGTAAGAATTAAATATAATGATTCCTAGGCATCCCATTTTCCACTGGTGTGTTGTGCAAAACCAGTCAGCTGGCTTCATGTCCCTGTGCTTCTCCTTCCTCTTATCCCTTTGCCTGACTTGCAGGTTCTTCAAGGCAAGGTGTGTTTGCTCTTGCATGGTTTCAGCTGTGCGTAAGTCACGCTATATGTTGCCTGAGTTAATGATGTCCTGTGACAGTTTTGATGTTCTCTGCATTCATGTAATGCGAATAAAGATAATATGTTGTCAAAATAACAGCATGCTGGAAAGCGAGCTGCCATGCTTACCCGCAGACTTTTATAGCCACTACGTCTTTTATAATACCAGCAGCCAAAGAAGAGGAAAATTGCCAGCACCAAAATGAAGAGTCCAATACCCAGAGCTCTGTTGGGAAAGCAAAACAAAATCATTAGCACCAGAACTAGATGCATTTTTGTGGGAGCAAGAATGATAAGAGCACAAGTTTGTATCAGTATCCTTTTATTAGAAGGTGGCACAGAGAATTTACCTCAGAAAACAAAGTGTCAATGACTTCAGCCAGTCTCTGTTGATTAAGCAGTTAGCTATATTCTCTACCAAGTTCTTGTGCATGTTAAAAATGAGGAATAGATTGCTTCGAAGATAATAATCTAGCAGTGGCTACTGCTTCTAAAAAAATCTCTGCCTGTAAATCCAGCAAACAGTATTACGATGCTGGAGGAGAATGTGAAGTACATCAAATGCCACACCTGCAGAGAGACAGCTCATGTTATTTGTTAAATTTCCCTAGGCAGCATCTATTGAGAAATGTGTCATCATCGCATCCAATAACTGCTGGAGTCAGAAGGATTTTTTGGATACATAAAACAGTGCATAACCTCAAAACCCAGTCAGAAACTTTGTATTATTCATGGTAATTCTATAATTCTTCGGCTCTTGTTCCACGACATACTAGGCACAGTACTGGTGTCCCTGACTCACTTTAGGGAACACAGGCTTTGCAAACTGTGCTGCAAGACATCCTTCCCACTGCGTTCTGAGGACGTGCAAGAAGAAGTACAGTTCCACTACCCATCAGACAGCAAGCTGACAAAGTAATTGCAAGTTTCCTAGTCACAAAGCCCATTCCTTCTGATATCCCCTCTGTTAAAACAGAAAATTCACTCCCCATTTTTTTTTGTTCTTTGCCTTTTCAGGAACAGAAAAGTCTGCAAAATGCTTAAAGGGAAAAGAGTACAGGAAAAAAATGACCAAATGAGTCAGGATAAACCCATTCTAACACACTTCTTGTGTCTTATGTCCAGTTACCCAGTAGTAATTAGAGCACCGGGCTTCTCCATTGGGAGTGAGCAGTGGAATACATGACTCATCAGAGACCTTTTCTGTCTATCTGCTGTCACTTTCACTGACTCAGAGTCTCATGAAGGAGTGTTTCCATGTGACTTAAGAAGCCTGAAAGAAGATGTAAGCAGGTTTGTTGTGGCACAACAGGCTGTGCTTTTGTCTGAACTGTTTGAAGCATGAAGCCCCTTGGAGCCAAAAGGATTTTCTTTTTCATAAGTACCTGAATCTTGTGAGTTGCTTCTGCCCCTTCAAGAATTTGTGTTGGCTGAAGAGCTCTTTAACCCAAGAATTCAGGTCATGGCATTCCTGGTTCAGCTGCGTTGCAGGTGATCTTCAAAGTTACAAGACAACTCCACTGGTTTTGTGAATGGTTTTAGCACAGCTAAACCAGTGTTTCTCCAAGCAGCTGCTGCCTTTTCTACATTTTGAAACTGCTTTCTGCTTTTCATATCCTCTGTAGCTTTAGGCATCCATTAGCCTGTATCCCTCTCACAATGTTTGTCACTGGAGTTGGCAATTTTAACCATGTTTGCTGTCCAACTCCTTCCCTACCTATTCGGAGGGTAGTGTGAAAAGTGTGTTTGCAGTTCCTTGCAGTTCCAGTTGAAGCTGGAGCTGTGCTGTTAGGATTATGTGCTTTTATCCTGAATACGTTTTCTGGTGCTGGAAGGAGAGAGTCACTTTCCCTCACATACTTAGAAGAACTGCTTACTTGTTGAAGAATTGCAGCCACTGGAATTCATGGCAGTTAAAGATGATCAAGCTTAGTTTCAAGTGCTGAGACATGACTAGCCAGCTTTATCCTTCAGAGAACTGCTTTGGAAGGACTATGTGAGCGCCTTCCCCTTTGTTTATTCTCTCTGTCTAAGGTTTAACACAGAGAAAAAGAATCTCACAGTATGGAAGGCGAGGGGGAGGGGAGGGGGAAGGAGGAGATAAGTCTCCAAGTTTGGGGATCAGTAAACCACTACCAGAAGCACATTCCACATACAGATATCCAAGCACACTGGAAATACTTGTCTAAAGTAATAACACATCACCAGTGGGATACTGTCTAGTAATCCAACAATCCAAGGCCAAACATATTTTATTGTAAGCCAAAACTAGCAAAGTTTTAAGCAGAATTAATTCTGCTTAAGTGGAATCTTGCCCAGAAACACTTTACTGAGAGTCACATTTGTATGGCATTAATGTCTTCCCCCTGCCTTTTGATGGTATTTTACCATTTTTCTGGGGTTTTCACTTGTATTATTCTTTAGAGTGAGACAATGTCCCTTTGAGGTCACTGAAGAGAGATGTGGATCTGGAGATAGAACTCAGTGTAAAGATCACTTTGCAGCAGCCTCAAAAGAAAATTTTAAATAAGTCTCAGTAAACCTGGTAATTTTACTATAAAGGTTAATGGCTTCTGATCATATGATCAAACTCTGGATTCTTGAATTCAACAATTCTGATTGTTCTTAATTGTTGAGGGCTCTTCAAAATTCTGCAATCACAGACATTAAAGACAACTACAAGACAGCTAAATTGGACTCCACCTATATATAACTGTAACTTTTTTTCTGATACTATTTTGTACATTTCTTTCAATGTAAATTTTTTTTTCACCGGCTTACATGCTAACATAGGTATTGCTTTATGCTTACTCTTCTGCTGCAAGATAGCTGTGTCCTTTCCCTCTGAAAAAGCTGCCGTCTGGATGATGGATTCTTCTTGGCATTTTGTGAGCTTGGTCCTACTCAAACCTCTAGGATAGAAATACAATAAATGTAAATAAAGTGCAATAAATAATTTGTTATCTTTAAGGCATAGTGCTATCAACTTTTTTTGTTTTAATGGGAGCATTTTAGGAAGTCAGGACAATCTGATATCTTCAGAAATTAGTAGATACATGTACATACGCAACTGTCCCAATTTAAGGCAAAACTCAAAACCATAAATAGAGTTTAGAATTGAATAACTCCAATGCCATCAAGGTATTTGCACCCAAGTGCAACACAGAAGAATTTGACATGGTCTCTTTAGGTACTAAGTGATTGCAGACTTCTGAAGTAAAACCTCATATAGAATATAGAAAGTCTTGCAGGAATATAGAAAGAAAGGCAATTTACCTGGACAAGAAAAACTATTCAGAAGAAGAAACGATAATATTGTCCTTACAAGTAGTTTTTTCTTTATTTGCTTTATTCCCTGTAAACACTCATTGGTTTTCAATCAGGGTAAACTCAGAGATCTGTTGATTTTCAGATGCTTATACTCATTCATACTATACTAAAAGCAGTCTGAACAGTTAGAAATCTAATTGATCAAAAGTAACAAATGTAATCATGTTTTTGTCATTCAAACAGCGCAACACATCCTACTTGATAGTATCCAGCTAAGATACCTACCTTAGGCAGCTAAAGTGTAAATGCCAATGTCTTTGCCGAAGAGAATTCCAGCCAAGGAGAGAAAATGTTTTCAGAGTTCACTTAGAGATAATCAAGCCTCTTCTGTAGCACAGTTTTGGAGCAACACAAAAAATTTTAAGTAGAATAAAAAAATACAGATCTTACCTCCTTCAGTCGCGTATTCTGTCTGTTAACTGAAAGGCATGTACAGCTCGCTTTTCCTTGATCTGCTCTGGGTTTTTTTCCTTCTTTGATCTGTACTCTTATGACTATCACGAGTTTAAATTCCTTTCAGTACAGCTTCTGAATGCATTCATTAGCATGAAGGAGGTAAGGAGACAACTCATTTTCTTCTTACAGTCTGCATCCTTGCCTCCTAATAGGGAGCTAAAAAATCCGTTATTTCTTCATTTATGATATGCCCTCTGAGAAATGGCTCAACACCATTTTACCCGCCTAATCAGTACATGCTCCTAGAGTGGACAGACTACTTCTAAATTCAAACATGATTTTGATTTAGGGCTGATTATTTTGTGACAGAGGACTGGTATTTTTGCTATGCTATAGCTATAGCTTTGTTTATGCACACTTTTTACACCATTCTAGCACTGGAAAACTAGTATAGTTGGAGGAAAACTCATAGATGCATGCTGTTATACCATCATGGAAGTGTCTTAGATTAGAGCAAGTACAGTTTAATTCTGTACTAGTAAGCAACTGCTGCAACAAAAAGAGAGCCTGTCCCATGGGCTGCAGAACTATGAAGCCTGTTTTTCTATGGATTTGTGTGAATTGCCTTTGCTTGTGCTGCAGTAGTTCCATTTACAACACCAGGCAAGAAACAGCAGTTTGTGGTTGATTTACAGGCCTGGGTACTGACATGGGCCAGCAAAGTTTTTTACTACCAAAAAGAAGCAGATATAAAAACTATGTCCTGTTTGTCGCTTGTCCTGATGAGTGATTAATGTGGGCCTTTCTACCAGTACCACAGCTGAGGGTTTTTAAAGTCTGGAGGACTCAAAACTTGGAAGTTTTGACTCATATTTGAAGCTGTGAACCTGGCTCTCAATGTGGTTGAAAATGGCTGACAGGCTCTGAAGTGAATAGGAGAACACAGATCAAGAATGCTGATGAGAGATCAACATCCATTTACTTAGGAAATCGGATGAAAAGTCTTAAAATCAATCTTCCTTGCTAGTGTAGGGCTAGGAATAGCCAGACCATTTTTCTGCTTGTCTGTTTTGCCTCATCATAAAAATCTGATTTTTCTTTAGATATTTTTCAATGGTAGTGCCCAGTGACAGAACCAGAGGCAATGGGCACAAACTAAAATGCAGGAGGCTCCAGTTGAATGTAAGGACCCACTTTTTTACTGTGATGGTGACTGAGACCTGGCAAAAGTTGCCCAGAGAGGCTGTGAAGTCTCCATCCTTGGAGATACTCAAAACTGTCTGGACACAGTCCTGGGAAACTGGCTGTAGGTGGCTCTGCTGGCGCAGGGGCATTGCACTGGATGACCTTCACAGGTCCCTGCTATGCTCAGCCATTCTGTGATTAGCACCAGAAGGATTTGATCAGTTTTGCTAGACCCATTAAAGTTTGAAACAACATGTTTTTTGCAAAGGGAACAATAAAAGGAGGAAGAAGAGTGAACATTACTAAGGAGCATAAGCTTGCTCATTTGGCCAGATGGTTCCATGCTTCTCTTACATCATCCCAGACAAATTTGATAGGAGTTTCAGAGGTGAAAGTGATGGAGGGAAAGTTTCTGTAGATACCCACATGTGTAAAACAGTAACTGTAATTTATCATAGTCCATCCAGTTCCCAAGGAACATGCCAGCCCTTTGTGCAGTACTCTGAAAATGTCATTGACCTCGTTACCAAGTCATGTGTTCTCCTGAAGAAAAGCTTCACTTCCGGGAAAGGATAGTAACTGAAAGGTACCGTTTGTTCTTGTCAGATTCAAAACCCAGATACACAGAAATTCCACATGATATCAAAGCCAGTTTCTGCCCCTTCCTTGCCTCAGGCAGTGTGTGGGGCAAAATGTCAATTGAACACGGAGCATTCTGAATTAATCTTTTGTTAACAGTATAACCAGGAAGGGGAAAAAAAGTCCAGCTTTGTCATGGATCTGTGGTGCCATCTGGCATGTAAAAGCACAATGCTGCTATTGAGGAACTGGATGGATAAAACAGAAGGTAAAACACCATGTCCTGGTTCTGACCACAGTTTTTTACAAAATCTTATTTCTCTGGGGTGGTGCTGCTAACTCCATCCATGTAACGTCACTGGAGCTGCTGTATGGATTCCACAGGTGCCACTTGTTTAAAGACAGCCTTTCAGGAGGAGAAGAGGATAGAAGAGGTGGAGTACTTAGGAGAAAACCCAAAGCAACCCAGGCCTTTTGTGGTAGCCAGCAACCTGTGGCAAACCAAGGACACTGATAAATTTTTATGATAGGTATGAAATGAATGCTTTCAGTGTAACTGAAAATAACACGCTTGACCTTTTAAAAAGAATAGCAGGTTTTATGCTGTTGACAGCATGATTCTGTCTTTCTAGGACAAGATCCTGGGATTTTTATTAGTTTATTTCCCTGAACTGATAATCTTTATTTTTCTCTGGCATTTGAGCCTTCCTTCAGCAGACAGAGCAGACAAACAGAAGTAGAATCATAGAATCATTTCGGCTGAAAGATCAAGTGCTTTGGCACCTGATTTAGTAAAGGCATTAGTTTTGAGTTTTATAAGAGTTTCAGTGGAAACTCTCAAGTATTTCAGTGCAATATTTATATTTACATTGACAGTAACACAGTACAGCAAGAGGGAGTAAGGAGATTATAATCCTTTCAGTTGGTGCTGAGGGTCCTCATCTCTCCATGATTTGGGGATTTACTTTGAAGGCAGTATTATCTGGCTTCCAGGGCTGAACTGTTCCCCTACAGGCCTGATTTGGTGCTTTTGTAAAAGAAGTTATTGCTCACATTGCTGCTATCTCAGTTGCAGACACCTCCAGGAAGGAGGTGTCTATGTTGTCCCATAGACTGCCTTGCCCAGACACCATGTTGTCACACCTGGTTCATGAAAGTAAGTTCCTCAAGTAATTTCCAAGTGAAATTGTTCCTCAGTGTCAGACCCATCTCCCTCTGCTCCATGTCTGAACAATGTACAGTAAAAAAGAAGTGGTACTCTTAATCCTGTGGCAACTATGCCAAGAGGATGCCAAAAATGCAGTGGTGCTTGCGTTCCTGTGCCTTGTTTTTTCAAAGTCAAAAGACTGGATAGCTTTTTGGAGGTGTTTTTCTTTGCTGCTACTTTGTCCATGGTCAACTGGAGGTTCTGAGCCCAGGGGATTGTTCAGATTTATGGGACTTTCCTCCATGGGATGCAGATTGCAAACCTTGGGTGGAAACCTTTTGGATGCAGTTGGGCCCTATCAACCTGAGGCGGGTGTATGACTTTTCCTTGTAACTTCAGGAAGCCATACCTGGATTCAAAAGAATGAGAATGCTTTCTAAAGCCTCACAGTCCTGTTTCCATTAGTGAGTGACTAACAGGTTTGGAGTGAGAAACTCCTTGCAGGTGAAATGCTCATTTAGGTCTCTGAGGCCATCTCAGAAACTCTTTGAAGAAAGTGAATACAGGCAACACTGACTACATGATAGCATCTTGGAGCAAAATGGCCCTTTGAAAGTAATGCCTGCAATAACAGTCCAACAAGACTTAACTTGAAATGCTGCTGCTACAGCTGATGTAAAAGCAGTCCCAAAATTAATACAAACACTCGGTACTTCTTCTGTGCTGTTAAACAAATACAGAGTCATCACCTGACAGAGTTTCCAGGTGACTAATGCTATTCAGTGCAGTTAGGGAAAAAAAAAGAAAAGAACTTTTCATTTCTCTGTTCAGAGGATCATAAGATCCTTTCCAGCCTCGTGGGGACCTGGGGAGGTCTCCAGTCCCTGCCTAGAGCTCAGACCACACTACTCAGGGCTTTGCCCAGACGGGGCATGAAAGATGGAGACAGCCCAAACTCCCTGGGCCCCAGCCCTACCACTGGGCTGTCCTCGTGGCTCCAGCCTGAGCCTCTCACGTTTCAGCCTGTGCTGCTGCCTCTCACCATCTTGCCATGCACCACTGTGAAGAGCTTGGCTGCATTCCTCCATCCCTCCCACCAGTGCTGGGGATGCTGTTGGGTGCCCCCAAAGGCACCCCTCCTCCTGCTCAACCAGCCCTGGTCCTGCAGCCTCTCAGCGGTCCTCTGCTGAGCTCAGTCATGTTTATTAACTTCTTTCCTGTACCTCATACCCCAAAATGGGTGCACAA